AGTTTTATCTGTTATTGATTCAGTCTCTCTCCGTCTCTTTTCAGTGCGACGCGCCCAGAGATCTTTCTTCTTTTTCCCCCTTTTCCACAACTGTTCAAAGACGGAATGCTTCCCTGCTAGCAATAACGACGCTGGAGGCGTCGAACTTCACGAGAAGAAGTGATTTTACACACATACCGAATACCCAGTTATCCAAAGGGCTGAAGTCCCCGCCGCGCACGCGACCTAGAACCGCACAGCACACGACCAAAAACTTACACTTTAAGCGATAAGCAACGTCAGTTGTGTTTATTCTCAACTGCCCGATGGCCGCTCCACAAATCACTACACCAACGTCAGCACCCGAAGTCATTCCGGGCACGCGACGACTCTACGATGAGAACGGCAACAATTTACCGGGCGACGCCTCGCTTCTGAAGCACGGCGACATCGTCCTTGTGCCTCAGCCCACCGAGAGCCCCAATGATCCACTGCGATGGTCACTGGCCCGCAAGATCTGGCACTCGTGCCTTGTGCTCTACATTGTCGGTCTCACAGCTGCCACCTCCAATAATGCGGGTTCCGGCGCGGACGGCGTGAACGAGGAGTACGGAATCAGCTATGACGCCTTCAACACCGGCGCCGGTGTGCTGTTCATTGCGATTGGGTACTGGACCCTGCTGAGTTCGCCGTTGGTGCACTTGTACGGCCGCCGGCTGGGGTATCTGATCTCCATGGTTGTCAACATTGGTGGTCTCATCTGGTATGCTCGCATCACCAATGTTGGCGGCGTGGTTTGGTCGCAGCTGTTTGTTGGTGCTGCTGAGTCTGTCGGCGAGGCTACTGTGCAGTTGTCGCTTCTCGATATCTGGTTTGAACACCAGACCGGCAGTGTGCTTGGTATTTACACCTTTGCAACTGCCATTGGAACCTACCTTGGGTGAGTTTGTCCTCTGACTGGCGGGTATGATGCGAAGACGTGTGATTGCTAAACGCAAGCAGGCCACTCATCGGCGCATACGTATCAAGCGGTCTCGGCTGGCGATGGATCGGCTACGTGGGCACCATCATCTGCGGCATCAGTCTAATCGTCATCTACTTTGGCCTCGAAGAGACGGAGTTCAACCGAGATCGCTATCTTACCGGCAACGGCGAACGCTACCCCGTAGACGACTATAACCGAACTGCCGCCACTGTTGTGCCAGAGAAGACCTCGGCGCAGGCATCAGCCAGAAACTCCGTCAGCATTGAAAGAGACCCAACCTCGGGCCAAGACGCTTCCGTCACTGAGAAGCAGCAGACCCCGCATCTCGCTGAGACGACGACGGGCACCGACCACGGATCCATGGTCTCGACTACCGCGCGGGACCGCATGGCCTTCTCCTACTCCCGTCGCAAGACGTACTGGGACCGCATCCGCATCATCACGCCGGCGCCGAATCTCCAGGGCACAGGATTCAAGCAGTATCTCTTCCGCCTCTGGCACACCCTCCGAGTCTTTACTTTCCCGGCGGTATGGTACGCGGGCCTCCAGTGGGGTCTGCAGAACATCTGCTTGACGTTCTACCTGACGGTCCAAGAGGACTGGTGGTATGGCCCGCCGTGGAACTACTCTGCGGCTGCCGTGGGTAACATGAACCTGCCAACGCTGATTGGAAGTTTGATCGGATGTATCTACGGTGGTTACGGAAGTGATCAATTCATGCTGTGGATGATCAAGCGGAATAAGGGCGTCATGGAGTCTGAGTTTCGGCTGTATCTGATGGCGCTCTGCACGGTGATCTTCCCGACGGGCATGTGGCTTTTCGGCATCGGGAGCGCGCGTGGCTGGGACTGGCCTCTTCCGTATGTTGGATTGGGCTTTATCGGTTTCGGGTACGGTTGTGCCGGAGACTTGAGCTTGGCGTATCTTGCCGATTCTTTCCCGTAAGTTTTGCTCTCTCAGAGTTGACGGTATGATGGGCAGAGCAGTGGCTGACAGGACAACGCAGTGAAATGGTATTGGAAGGCATGGTAGGTGTGGCCGTCATCAACAACACAATTGCCATGCTCTTCACCTTTGTGGCGAGTTACTGGCTGGACTCGGGTATGGAGAACTGCTTCATCGCCCTTGGGGTTCTCAGCTTCGTCATCATGGGGTTGAGCCTGCCGATGATTATGTTCGGCAAGAGATCGCGCCGGTGGGCCAAGGATAGATACCTGCGATTTGTTGATATCCGTGACGGCTTTTCCAAGTAAGCAAAGAGGGGGGTCCTGAAAGATGCCTTTCGATGGCATGGGAACGAGTGCCAACGGTAGCTATGGGTAGAGTTTGGCCCAGTTGTCTACGTTGACGAGGCGTTTGCTCTGTGACTGCGTGGTCAAAGATGATAGAAAGCCCTGGCGTCTTGGCTGGGCATTAGGATTTCACGTCTACAAATGATAACAGATGATGTCTCAAAGCGGATATGGACTACCGAAGACACGAAGTGAAGAAAAGTACATGCCATGATGCCAAGGGCTGATCTATCACGAATACATGGGCAGGAGCACATTGAAGGGAGCTACAGGTATATCCACTTGCCATTACTTCCTTCCTCTTTCCGCCATTCCCTTGTGGAGCCAGGGTACCTTCCCCGGAACATATGTCTCGTTGCTCCTTCCATCTCAAGAACAATCATGGAACGCCATCGAAGGCCACCTGCCTTCTTCTCAGTTGTCACCTCAGGTTTCATTCTTTCGACGTCCTCGTCGCCATTCAGGATCCATCCATCGTCAGCCCTCCACCCTCCTGAGTCCTGACCCCTACCTTGTTGAGCTTCATCCATGATCCAACTTCAGTCTCTTTATCAACGACACGCCGACCCCCACGCCTTGTTATCCTCGTCTCTTCCCGGCGTCCTTCCGCCTGACATACCTGGCGTTGGTTTGCAAAGTAACCGATGTGCTGACCATTTGCACCATAACAAGACCCCAAACGCCTATCCCCGGAACTTTTGACCCTGCGCTTACCATGTGCCGCCAGACGACGTTTCGAATGCCTCTCACGGCCTCTCGTTCGTCAATAGCCACGCGTGCCACGCAATCGCGGAGCAATGAACCCAATCTGGAGTCATCGAGGCTCTCCCGGACCAATGACTGCTTGCCACTGTTGACTACAACAAGGCATATCGTTCGTCTCTAGACAACAGTCATTCTGTTTTGGTATAGAGATTTGCAGACGACGCAAGATTCTTGTCCACATCACCCAGCGTCATCAGGAGAGTAGACGATGATCTCAGCCGTAACAAAGCTTGGCTTGACCAAGCCTGAATAGCAACAGAAGAAGTTGTACTCTGCAGATCTTGATGCCTCGACCTAGGATACACCGCTGCCTCGCTGAACATCTTGACATTTCTGGGATATCAGGTAAGGTCAAGTGCTTTGCCCTGTTCTTATCTGTGTCAACTGACACCAAAATCACGTTGCTCCTCTTTCGATACATTGGACTAGCAATACCATGCATTAGGCGTCTGCGTCGGCTAGAAAGTATCACTAAGCTATGAGCTGACCAAGACCCCAGATCCCATGCTTCAGCTGCAGCAGATGGACAAGATCGACAATCACAATGGAATCCACATAAAGACTTCGCCTACAGCACCTTTCAGGTCCATGCAAACACGGATGCTCTCGTGGTTCGTTGGCGCGGAGTAAGCTTGGGGTTGCTTTGCATCGTGCCGTCTCGCGTCCTTCTATTGACTGCTTACACCCGCCCTGCGGCTCGGCTTACTCGTCCAAGAAAGCCTGTTCTTCTCGTACCGACCTAGACGCCAAGTTTTAGAGTTATCTCCAGGCTCGTCGCCGCTGCGAACAACCCTTCTCGAGCTAGATGAAATGCCGCATCAACTTACGTCGATATTACCGGCAACCTCGGTGAGTGAGGAGTGCACAGCAGAAAAAGACTGCCCGATCGGTTAGCATAGGTTTTGAGAACCAACAGCTACGGATACCTGACCGAAGTACCCTGTTCGACCTTCCCAAAGCAAACATGGTGGAACTTTGTAGCTCCTTATCAACCAAACGACCAGGACCCAAGTATTTGGAAAAAGGTTCGCATTTCCAAATACCCCGACTTATCATGGCACAGCAGGTCTGTCACTCAGCAGCCTACTAGCCCGCAGTGTGAGCTGAGCTGATTCGATGACACCGAAAGATAACCCAAAAAGCTGTCTCGTCGCCTGATGGCTGCCACACCCACATCCTAACATGCGCATTCGAATCGATCCGAAGCGCGTCATCGACAGCTAAGGCAACATCTTTATTGTCCCATCCAGATACTACAACCGCGTCCCAACCTGGTGTCTATGCTTGTTGAAAAAAAAAAAAAAACAATCGGCCTCTTCCGAGGAGTGGATGACTCCAATGGCGATCACGAACCCTCAGAGCCACTCGGCTCGCGTGCCCCGGGCCATGGACCCAGCCATCAACAATTCCAGGGTAGATCTTTGCTGGAGCACGACTTTAAGCACGACTTTGGACTCCAGAAGTCGTGCTTTGGCTCGCGTCACTTTACATTAACATTGCCGACTCCTCGGGCCTACTTGATGGAGTGTTCTCATGTATGGACCCGTCGGCGTCTGTTCGCCTTGCCGTCGGGACCCACGTAAAGAGGGAGCATGCCGCTTAGCGTCAGCTCTTGACGACTTTCTCTCTTATGAGCTGCCCGATGAGCGTTATGCTAAAGACCACCTCTGGCTAGCCCAGGTCCGCTGTAGTCTCAAAGCCGCAGCTCGGACAACAAACTGCTACTTAGTGCGTATTGACTGACATTTCATGTCAGGTCACCTTCATTTTAGGTCAGCAAGGAGCCCGTCGCCGGCTGTTCGTGCTAGTGAGACGCACTGCAGGGATCACCTTGGCTCCGCGGATATTGGGGTCGAAAATTCGAGAACATTAGCCGGTACCTATTATCTCTTGTTCCGTTGGAAAATGTTTTCGGCATCTCGCAACTTGCGGTTCATATCTCGGGGCTTGTCACCCACTCACCATTCACTTACCATTTGTTACGCTGTACTTCTCTCGCTGCTTTCAGCGGATTTCCTGTGGTCTTCAACGAGGCTGAAGACGCCTAACGCTATGCCCCATGATGGACGAGAATGAGAGCAGCCACCAAAGTCAGCCACTAGCCACGCCTCGGCTTTGACAGGACAGCACGGACGAGCCTGCGGTGCAACCGGCCGAAAGCATGTTGACCGCCGCTCGGCAGTGCCCACAGGAGCCGCCCAATGCCATGGCAATTTCCAATTAAAAGATGGCACTCGAGTCTGAATCGTGGCGTCCTTAGACAGAGATCTGCTTTGTCTTGCGGCCATTCCGCGGAAACTCGCCCCCAGTCCGTTCCTTGGCCCAGTCCCGCCGCCCGCCCCTTGGAGGTAGCTGAAATGGAAAACCTGCGATCGCGACCTTTTAACGACCAGACGGGTTAGTTTGGAGCGGCGCTGTTCGGGTGTGTCTCTGACAGTACCTTGACCATTGGCCGTGCTCACCAAATGGCTTATCGGATGGAACCAGGAGTGCCAGGTTGGCTTGGTGGAAGGCCGTTGGAACATGCACCATGCTTCTACGGCGTTAGTCCACTGCCTGCGGCAGCTCCCCCAGCTTTTCCCTCCCAGGCCGATGGCTTGGTTGCTTGGCTAACGAGGGGAGGGCCAGAAGCGAGCAGCAAGCCGTCCATCCTTCATGATGGTTGACGGCGGACGGCGGCGCTCTTTGAATCTCATCTGCGATGTAGACCTGGGCCGAGGGAGATGTCGGAGGGCTCCCCGGTTGGAACCTGATGCTTGGTTGGTGACAGTTCGCGACGCTGTCTCTTAGTCTCTCTGGCTCTCTCACCACGGCCTTTCCGAAAAGGGGGAGGGCCTAGTTGATAGGATACCTACAGACAGGCACGATGATTGGTGGTCTGAGTCAGGACTCGGTCGCTGGCGTCTTTTAGGCCGACCAGGACGCTCTTTCACCTTCTTAATCTAGAACAGTGGTGGCACCATTGTGCCTATTCCCCGCCTCCTGGCCACCCTGGAAATTGGAATTGGTCGCCTACCCGTCGACAACTTTCGCACAGGCCCATGGTATCAATGTCGACATGTCGGGCACATTGGACGAAATCCCAGGGCTCTCCTGGGCGCGGAGGCTGGAGAGAGGCACACCCACACCCACATACACACGCAGTAGGGCGAGCGTGAGGGACAGAGGGAGTGCGCATGTACCCACAGAGTCAATCAAAGGACGAACCGCCTTGCCCCCAGCTTCGATAGCAAAGGCAGGCCCCCCATCCGCCATCGAGGGTTCCCCCCAACTCGTCTTGCTTCTCTCGGTCGAATTGGTAGCCAGCGCCCGCTCCGACCAGCAAAAGGCGTTGTGAATGGTTCCCCATTCGTTTAGCAGACGCCCGGACTGCCAGACCGTCTGAACAGCCATTGGCTATGTAACGCTTCTTTACCCCCTCCCTTCGCGCAGCTCCACGGACCTAGCTACGGTTCTGGCTGCTGGGAGGCCCTCTTATCACTGAAAAAGAGAGACCCGAAGGGACGGGATACGGGCTTGTTCTACCCATGTGCCACGCTCGCTTTCCTTGTTGAGGAAATTACGCGAAGGAACTTTTGCCTGCAGCTTTCACCACACGGAGGAACTTGGCGACCGCCGACCAATGCCAGTTCAACACCGGAAAGTGGTCTTCGTCTTTCTCGACCAAGAGAGAGAGAGTGCGAAAGAGACAGACAGGCCGCGAAGGAAGAGAGAGAGAGAGACTGGGAGAAAGAGAGGAAGCGGGAGCCCTACCACTCACTTTACCATTACCAGCCCAAATTGAACGGACGAACTGGCCTGGAGCAACGGCTCCCCCGTCCATTGTCCCCCCCATCTCACCCCCATATCTCTCTCTACTGCACAAGACAACATTGCTTGTCGTTCCGCCCGTTCAGTTCCAGCTCTGGCTTCCCGTCCTATCCTAACCCGACCTGTCTGTTCCTGACCCGTCCTGACCTCGACCTGTGTCAACTGTCGGGGGGCCCTTCAGTCAGTCTTTAATCTTTTCGAACCCTCTCGTTACCCATACTGGGCCATGACGCTTTCTCCTCTGCCGCTCTATTTTTAACTTGGCAGCCAGAGTGACCGAGACCTTCTCTTTTATGTGGCGACGATCATGGGCACTTTTGTCTGGTCTCCTCCCACGCTCTCGTCTTTCATTTGAAGGCCCAGTGGCACCCCCTCCATTTTGACGGGCAATTGATGCTTGCCACCAGGGCAGCGCGCTGGGCTTCTTGGATGAATCGCATTCGACGACGACACGAGGCACCTGTCCTACCGAGGAGCTTTGACTCGTCCCGAGTCTTGACATCTTTCTAGCCAGCGGTCCGAACCTCTGCTCCACGGGGGACGCGGGACGCGGCCGAGATGTTCAATCATTCTGGGGACAAACCACCCCGCGGTGTTCCCTCTGGATCAGAATACGGAGGCAGTCAGCATGGCCGCCTCGCCCTCAACACATCTGGTCAAGCATATTCTAGGTTCGGTGTTCCGCTCAACTTTGGCGGTCCCTCGACATGTCCACCGCCGCAGCAAGATTCCGTCCGGAGGGACTTCGACTCATCTATGGACTGGACTTCACCAGTCGCGCAGCAGAACGCGCGCTTCGACGTTGGGTCTTCGATGAACAGCGCGCCACAGCAAGATGAAGGAATGGAACTCGATGAATTCAGTCCCCCTGCCGGAGTGTCCAACTTGATTGCGCGCTTTGAGGGGATTCGCGCCGCACCACCAAGCAGTAATAGGATCATGAGCCCGGCCAGTTCAGTCGCAAGCCCATCAATAGCGAGCCCATCGTCGGCACACTTTGGCAGTATGCACGGCAGCACAGCAAACATGAGCTCTTCAGGAATGAGTAGAATCACAAGTCCAGTCGCTCACAGCCCGGCCACGCCCACTTTCTTCCGTGCTCCGGAATCATATCGTCCTCCAGTGCCCAGACATACGAAGCCAGTTTTGGATCGCGCACCCTCTAATATTCCCGTGTTCACGCCGGACTCACGATTTGGAGATGGAAACAGTCGTATGGCTATTGCTGCTGGTCCCTCGAACCCCGCGCCTCCTCCTCAGGTGCATCACCATCAGCCTCAGCAGTATCAACCGCAGCAGCAGCAACATCAACCACAGCAACATCAGCACCAACACCAACACCAACACCAACAACAGGCACAGCAACAACAGCAACAGGCACAGCAGCAGCAACAACAAACCGCCGACTTCAGTCAGCTAGATCCTTTCCTCAATACGTCAAACAAGGGGTTTCAGTCACAAGCCAACGCCTTCAATTTTCCGACGACGAATGACTTCAACAATACGACGACTAAGCACTTTGCAACCCAAGCAAGCAACTTTAGTCCCCAACCAAACACGTTCAGCGCAGTCTCTAAACCCTTCGCTTCCCAATCCAATGCCTTCAATCAGTCGGCAACAACCTTCAGTGCTGCCAACGCTTTTAGCTCCCCTGCAAATGCCTTCAACTCACTACCAACCACGAATACCTTCAGCCCACCCCCGAATGCCAACGCCTTCAGTCCGCCACCTACTACCGCATTTAGTCCTGCTCCCACACCCTTCAGCCCGGCAACGTCGACGTTCAGCCCAGCACCGACACCTGCCCCGAGCCTCATGCCCGGCACCCCGGGTGTGATGCAAACGCCTTTTGGCCCTCCGCCTACGACATCATTCCCAGTACGTTTCTTCTTGGCTTGATAAGGTGTTCCATCTAACCATCGTGCAGGGTCATGCTCGAGCACCCAGTATTGCCCCCACTCCAAAGCCTGCGACAGGCAGTCGGCCATCTCGGGAGCAGGTTCCTGCCGAGGCATGGGAGTCTTTCAAGGGGACCATCAAGCATCTGTATCTGGAAGAACGCCGTCCTCTGAAAGAGGTCATGCAGATCATGGCGGATCAGTATGGCTTCCAAGCAACGTAAGTATCCATTCCAGATCCACGCCCCTTCATCTCATCTCACTGTCGTAGGCCGAAGATGTACAAGACCAGATTCTCTCAGTGGGGCTTCGTGAAAAACAACACCGAGGACGAAGTGAAGAGACTTCTTTCTATGAAGTTCCAACGCGATGCCGAGGGCAAAGTGTCCGAATTCGTTCGCAACGGTAGAGTGGTCAATCTGGGCACGTATCTCAAGAGGAAGGGAGTGACGGAGTACGATCTTGTCGACTTTGAAACGCCAGCTCAGCTCCCGTCATATGTGCGATGTCGTACCCCGACACCGCCGCCCGCTCCGGGCTATCTGCGATCACCAGACCTGCTCCGAGCGCAGGAGACGATTGTTGGGAATATGCGGAAAGCATTCTTGCATTGCCGCCAGTTCGAGGTCGAAATTGACAAGCAGGTCGGATGGACATCGATTATGTTATGGGGTGCGGGATCAAGCGACATGTTTGCTGATGCGAACAAGAAATTCGAAATGGGCGAACACGACGCGGGCGGTCATCAACTAATGAAGGCATTCAAACGACTGGAGATGGATCTCAAACAACTATCACCACAAGGCATCAAGGAACTTTTGCTGGGAATGGTGCATCGCGACGCGGGCATGATGACTGCTCTGTGCAAGTACCTGGCGGCGTATTCATCGACGAACTTTGAACGCTCGCATCCCCTACGACAGACATTTTCTACACTATACGAGGTGCAACAGAAGCATGGTCCGATCACACTATCGGAGCTTGTCTGGGGCTGCATTCCTACCATCGCCGAAGAACTTGAAGCCATCTACGGACGGCGTCACCCTTACGTAGCCAGGACGTGGATCGACTTGGCCATCTTTTACAACCACGCCAACCCCGAGAGACTCGAGAAACTGCTCTCCGAACTCCAGCCACTACGAAGGCAAATAGCAGGTCGTCACGGACAAGGCAGTGCGGAGGATCTGGCTTTGCGATATGCTGTTGTTCAGCTCATGCAAGCAGCCTGGCCCAACGCCGACAATACGAGGATGGAGGCCTTGGAACTATGGACTGCGATGAAGGATGGCGGCCTCGTCTTTCCAGTGCGAGGAGCAGAGCACAACACCTTTTGCTACCACAGCCCACTCAAGATCGATCCGTGGGAAAGACGATGCAGGGAGCGATATGACATTGGGACTCAATTCTTCCAACAACACTGCGGCATCAAGGTGCTGCCCTATTTCGAAGAGGACATGCATTACACAGAGCATGCCCCCGACTCGCATTCGGCCTTGGCAGCAGCCTTGGGCCACATGCCGCAATCCAAGTTCTCGCTCATTTAGTCGAGCGGGCAAAGTACCGCGTGGCAGATACTTTGATCGACGTGTCAACTTCTTTGGCGAAACTCATCACCATGGTCGTAATGTTGTATCGACCTTCGCCATCAGACGAGCCACGGACAAGTGGCATTCCTTACTTTTCTTAATATTTTCTTATTTAGTGATTCGAGAAGAGGACGCTACGATGCGACGGCCGCAGAAAAAAAAGCCCCTTCGAGCAGGCAAACGAAGGCGAGTACACCGGTTTGTCGGGATTGGGATCAATGATACCTCAGA